GGATTCGCCTCGAAATTCTGGTCAGAGCGCACCCTGGGAGAGGTCCAGGGAGTAGCGGTATCGGTATCTTTTGGTTTCCCCAGTGGGCGTCTGACGATCGGTGCCGCGGCGCAGCCCCACCTCCAGGACCTCCAGGAGCCTTCCAAAACCTCACGAGGCTATCCGAAAGCCTCCAGCAGGCCCGAAAACCTCATTCCCGTCCTCGTCCTCCTTGTCCTCCTCCCCCTCCCTTTCCTCCTCCTCCTCCTCCTCCTCCTCCTCCTCCGCCTCCTGCCACCTGCCAGCTGAGGAAGTCGGGGTTCAAGTTTATTTTACCGCTTCCATCCTTCCTCCTCCTCCTTCTTCTCCTCTTCCTTGTGAAGATGGACAAGGCTGGCGGGGATCCCGAGGGAAACGATGAATTCGACCGCTACGCAGTCGTAGCTCCATGCGTGGCCTTCGAGACTCTGCTCGCAAGTTCGGCCTTGAAGTGCTCCTTGTCTTGAAAGGGCAACCAGCTTGCTGAGGACTGCGTTCCATAAGTTCGGGCAGGCTGGTGTCCTGAGCCGCGGGGTGCAGGACCCTCACCACAAAAGAAACCCGCCGGCTATCGGTTGCCCACGAGAGCTTCTAATTCCCCCGATGGGTTCTCAAATCCCTTGGATACCTTACGAAGCGCAGAGTCGACAAAGCATGCCCCCTTAGGTTTCTTATATCAGCATCCAGCATTCCTCATCCTATGCACTTGCTGTTTTCTCGGTCCAGCTCCTCCTCCCTCCTCCCTCCTCCTCCTCCTCCTCCTTCCTCCTTCCTCCTCCTCCTCCTCCCTGCTGCTTTTCCTCCCGTGGCAGCGGCGGTCGCCCAGCCGCTGGAGGTGGACCCGTTCCGCTTCGGCCTGGCCCCAAGCAGCGTCACGGTGTCCACCGTGGGCATCATCCGCGGTGCCTCCCTCGGCAAACCCGCGCCCAGCCCTGGCGAGGGGAGGCAATACTATGATATAGGTAAACGTAGGAGACACACAAGGGCTCCTGAGACACACGTACACACACTTACACACACTTACACACAAGCATACAAACACACAAACACACAAGCACGCACGCACGCATACACGCACGCATAACTACGCAAACACACGCACGCAGACACACACAAACACAAACACACAACACACAAACACATAACACAAACACACAACCACACAAGCACACAAGCACACAAAGACATAACGTCACACAACACACACAGACACACGGGCACACACACACGGACACGCAAGCACACAAACACACAAAGACACAAACACACACAGCACACACCACACACAACACACACAAACACACACGCACACAAACACAACAGGCTCACACGCACACAACCACACAACCACACAAGCACACGCACACGATCACACAAACACACAAACGCACAACCACACAAACACACAAACACAGCTACACAGCTACACACAAACACAGAAACACACACACGCGCACCAGCACACACGTACACAAACACATAAACCACACACAACGCCACACACAAACCCATAAACACATAAACGCACAAGCGCGCGGCCACACATACAACCACACAAACATGAACACACACAAACACACAAGCACACGATCACACAAACACGCAACCACACAACCACACACACAACCACACAGACACACAAACACACAACCACACACAACACGCAGCACACAAACCCACACACCCACACGCCCACAAACACACACACACACGCGCGCGCACACACAGGCACACAATTACACAGACACGCAACCGAACAACCACACAACCACACAAGCACACAAGCACGCACACACACAACCACACACTCACATAACCACACAAACCCACAACCACACACAAACACACGCACACGCAAACACACACACACAAACACGCAAGCACGCACACACGCGCACACACGCACACAACCACAGACACACACACACACGAACACACACAAACACACAGCCACACACACCCACACACTCAAACACACACGTACACACACGTACACAGACACACACACACACACGCAACCACACACAACCACACAAACAGAAAAGCACACAACAACAAACAAACACGCACACACACACACACGCATAATCACACAAACACACACAACCACGCAACTACACAAGCACACACAGGCACACACCCACACAACACAACACAGGCACACGCACACACGCGCAAACGCATACACGCACGCACACACGCACAAGCACACACACACTCGCGCGCACACACAGACAAATGCAGACACATACACACAGCCACACACACAGCCACACACACAGCCACAGCCACACACAGCCACACACACACACACGCGCGCGTCCATACGTCCATACATGCCTTTACGACCACCCTTCGGGTGATAAGGAGGTTGTGGGGGGGGAGAGGGGGGGAAGCAACATCTGACTCAATCGATCTCACTATCGATCTCGCTCAACGGGACACCACGGGACACCACGGGACATCACGGGACACCACGGGACACTTGTCGATCTCATTATCGATCTCATTCAACGGGACACCACGGGACACCACGGGCCACCACAGGACACCACGGGACACCGCGGGACACCTCTCGATCGCACTGTCGGTCTCACTATCGATCTCACTATCGATCTCACTCAACGGGACACCATAGGACACCACGGGACACCACGGGACACCTCGGGACACCACATCGATCTCACTGTCGATCTCACTAGCGATCTCACTAGCGATCTCACTCACAGGCACACCACGGGACACCACGGGACACCACGGGACACCCGCCGATCTCATTATCGATCTCACTACCGGTCTCACTTTTTAGGACACCACGGGACACCTCAGGGCACCACATCGATCTCACTATCGATCTCACTAGCAATCTCACTAGCGATCTCACTAATGGGACACCACGGGACAACACGGGACACCTGTCGATCTCTCTATCGATCTCACTATCGGTCTCACTTTTACCGACATCAGTATTGATTTCATTATCGATCTCACTATCGATTTCCCTATCGATCTCACTATCGATCTCACTATCGATCCTACTCAACGGGACACCACGGGACACCAAGGGACACCGCGGGACACCGCGAGCCACCGCCGGACGGACGGACGGACGGACGTGCGGGGGATAATCATTTGTGTTGACTTCGCCTTAGCAGCGGCGGACACCACGGGACACCACAGGACACCACGGGACACCGCGGGACACCGCGAGCCAACGCCAGACGGACGTGCAGGGGATAATCATTTGTGTTGACTTCGCCCTAGCAGCGGCGGACACCACGGGACACCAAGCGACACCGCGGGACACCGCGAGCCAACGCCGGACGGGCGGGGGAGAATCATTTATCTTGACTTCGCCCTAGCAACGGCGGACACCACGGGACACCAAGGGACACCACGGGACACCGCGGGACACAGCGAGCCACCGCCAGACGGGCGGGGGATGCTCATTTGTGTTGACTTCGCCCTAGCAACGGCGGACACCACGGGACACCACGGGACACCGCGGGACACCGCGAACCGCCGCCGGACGAGCGGGGGATCATCATTTGTTTTGACGTCGCCCTAGCAGCTCTCGCGCGCCCACGCAGCTTCGCCGCGCCCGCACGCACGACACGAACGACACGAAACGATTTCCCGGTTGGGGGTCTTCGTTCCGCTGCGATCTCACCCCCCGACCTCCGATTTACGTGTGCGTATAAACGTACACACCTATCTATCGAATGGCCTTCGGCCCTTCCCGCGACCATGCCTTAATTGCAGGTCGGAGTTTTCAGGGATGTTTCTTGGGGTCGCTTCGGGGCGCCCTCGGTGGCCTCTTAGGGGCAGTTTTGGGGCTAGGGGGCAATTTTGGAGTTTTTTTTTGGCGTTTTGGGAACCTCTTAGGAGCCTCTTCGGGGCCTCCCGTAACCATTTTGGTTCAAAATGTCCAACACGCGGGGGCAGCGCCCTTGTGGGCAAATGGATACCGCTGATCCGCGGCGAGCAGGGCGGTTTACCGCTCGGCAGTCGGGCGCGCCATGCCGGCAGGGGGCTGGCCTTGGCGGGCGGGGAACAGTGGCAACGGCAACTGGTCCTGCAGCTGCGGGGCGGCGGACAAGTTTGCGACACGGAGGCATTGCCGTGGCTGTGGGGCTGAGGCGCCGCGGCAGCAGGTCACCTTCAAGCAGGCGCTGCTGGGCCCGACGAAGCGGGAGACCGCCATGCAGAATAAGCTGGACGCCATGCGCGAGGAGTTCAGGGCGCCCAAGGATGGCAGCCAGGAGAAGCCCGCGAACGAGGAGCCGCAGGTCGACTTGGCGCGTCTCTTCAGGTGGGTTCAGGCGTGCAAGCAGGAGCGGGGCCAAGACTTTGAAGAGTACTAGGTAGCCTTCGAGAAGTACCAGACCGCGCGGACGGAGAAGGACAGCACGAAACCGCATGCGGCGCAGCTCTCGCAGGCGCTCTACGCCAGGGAGAAGCTCGAGAAGGAATCCGAGCCCTTGGCCACCGACGTCAGCTGGTTCGAGAAACAGCTGGAGGAGGCCAAAGCCAGGCTCGAGAAGAAGCAGGAGCAGCTGCAGATCGCCAGGGTCAAGGAGCAGGAGCTCAAGGTGCAGGACTTCGGGTCAGGGAGTCACCCGCCTTCCTCACTGCCATGCAGAAGCAGTTCGAGGGCGCGGTCGACGGCAGCGGACGAGCAGTTCTTCGCGGTGCTGGGCAAGGTCCTGGCCAATGCAAGGCAGGAGGACATGGACATGGATGTTGAGAGTCCTGGTGGTCCACCTCGTGCTCGTGGTGCAGGGCGGGGCGCAGCAGCACCAGCAGCAGCAGCAACACAAGATGAATAACCACAGCTTACTGCAGAAGATTAGGAATTTCTCGAAGCAGGGGGAGTACCAGCTGAAACTACACCAGAACATCGGAAGCGATGGTTGAAGCTGTGCGCCAGCCTGGCCGAGCACGCAGCCAAGAATCAGAAGCGTTCCTGACAAGCGCGTCAGGAAACCCAAGCACGACACGGTCACGCTGTGGACGTATAGTGGCTTGGGCCGGGGCACGATCAAGGACGGTATCATGGAGGAGATGCAGGGGCTGCGGTGCTACGGAGTGCAGGAGCACCACCTGACCGCGGACAAGCTGGCGGTGGTCACGCAGAGCATGAAGGTTCAGGGGTACCACATGGGTGGCGATGGGGCGGTGGCCACGACGGGGCCCAACGGAGAGGCAGGCACATTGGCGGGGGCGGCGCTTGCGGTGCCGAAGAGAGTGGGCATGGCCCTCTAGCGCGGCAGGGACGACTGGGACATCTCGCCGAAGGCTAGTCCAGGCAGGGCAGCGGCGGGGTGGCTGTCGATCGGGAAGGGCGCTGTGCTTGCCGCTGTGTACTTGTGGACGGCGGAGGGCATGACGTACAGGAACTCGCAGCTCATCGCGCACTTGATTGGGGAGCTGCAGAGCCTGGGGTTGCCGTGGATCCTGGGGGGTGACTTCCAGGTGGCGCCTGGGGTGGTGGCGGAGGTCGAGACCCAAGGTAGCCGAGGCAACGGTGGTGGCGCCCGACGCGGCCTGCGGCGCTTGCATGCGCGCCTATGGGAATAGCGAGATCGACTACTTCCTGGTGGCGGATTCGGTGCAGGCGCAGGTGCAGCACGTCGAAGTACAGGAATCGTGGCCGGTGGCACCGCGCAAGCCAGTCGGGCTGGCGATCGAGCTGAAGGTCGTGGAGCGCATGGTCAGGGTGCTGGAAAAACCCGAGGCGTTACCAGAGGTGCAGGTAGGGTGCGCGCCCGCACCCCCGAGCTACGAGCGCGTTCAGGAGTTCAAGACGCAGGGGCAGGCTAACAAGGCGTGGACCAAGTATATGCTGGTGCTGGAGCAGGAGGCTTTCCAGGTCAGAGGTGCGCAGTAGGCGGGCGACGACCCGCGCGCGGGGCGAGCAGAGGGGCCGAAGTGGAGGATCAAGCCGCTCAACTTCGGCGGCGAGAACGTTCCCGCGGCAGCGAGGGGGGCAACGTGGTGGCGGTGGCTAACGCGGTCCCTGCGTGGACTGCAAGGCGCGCGCCCGAGGAGGGGGAAACCAGAGAAGCAGGTCATGGTGCAGAAGAGGCGCCACGAGATGAGAAGCCAGGAGAAGTTGTTCCAGGACAGGCCCAGGCGCATGAAGTGCATCAGCGTTGAGGAGCAGAGTATCTGGCAGGCGCGGTGCGACATGGTAGCAGCTGGGCAGCTACGAGGGGAGCAAGGAGGCGAGTTTCCAGAGCTGGATGCAGGAGGCGGAGTGCAAGATGAGGGCGGTGGACCAGAGGCTGCTGCGAGAGTGGCAGGCGAAGTGGGCCGACAAGCTGGAGATAGCGGCGGCAGGAGCGGCAGGAGGTCTAGACGAGCTCAGTAAGGCGGCAACAGTGTGGAGGCCCAGGCGCGCGGACACCATGGAGAAGGCGGCAGACCCCTTGCAGGCGGCGGAGGACACCTTGGAGGAGTGGAAGGTCGTCTGGAGGTTAGGCGAGATTTTGCAGGAGGAGCCGGGGCCATGGGATCAGGGGCCCGGCAGGGGCTCGAAGATTTCGAGGAGGAGGATGTCAACCCGCTGAAGGAGGTGGCGCGCACCTTGAGGAGGCGCACGGGGATTGGAGTGGACCGATGGCATGCTGCCATGCTGCAGGGCGCGTGCGACGATTCCTGCAGCAGACTGCTGGACCTCCTCAGGGTGGTCGGGTGCACGTTGATCTGGCCGATCCACATGGCCGCGGCCCTCTTCTTCATCACCCCGGAGACCTTCGCCGCCGACAGGGTGATTGGGCTGCTGCCGACCACCGCCCGCGCGTGGGAGATCACGCGGCGGCCGTGCATGATCAAGTGGGCGCGGGAGAACCAGAGGAGCTGGGGCTGCACTGGCCACGGGAATGCAGCAGAGGACGCGGCGTGGGATGTACCACCCAGCCAGGAGATGGGCGACCCCGACGACGAGAGTGAGGAGCTGGAGGCCACGATCACCGCGGTGCTGGACTTGGTTAAGGCTTTTGAAAAGGTGAGCGTGCACGCGCTGTGGGAGGCGGGCAAGCAGCTGTACTTCAACGCGGGAGTGCAAGCGGCGGTGTGTTCGTATTTCGCGATTGCGAGGGGGCTCATGGCGGGGGGCTTAGTGTCGAGCGAGACCAGCACGGTGGCCACGATCATAGCTGGCAGTAAGTTCTCGGTGTGCTTCTTGAAGATGGTCATCCAGTCGACGGTTGACGGCTTGGTGGTGGAGAGGCCGCGCGCAAAGTGGCGGATGTATGTTGGTGACCTATGTGTGCGTCTGGGACAGCAACAGCAGTGCATCGTGCAGGAGTTCGGCCGCGCTATCGACGAGTGCTTCGCGGGTTTCAACAAGCTGGGCCCGAAGTTCTCGGTGGGGAGCCAAGGCGAAGGAGCGGTGCTGGCGAGCACGAAGTGGCTGCGCAGGATGGTGGCGAAGGACACGGCGCGCAGAGGGCTACCAGTAGTGAGAGCCTGCCCTTACCTCGGCGTGGACCTCATCGCGCGCGGCACGGCGGCGAAGGCGAAGAGTGGGAAGCGGTGCGAGTGCGCGTTTAGCAGGGGCAGGAGGCTGGCGAACCTGAAAGGTGGAGGCCGCAAGATGGCGAGAGGGGCTGCACTTGTTTTCAAATGCGGTTTGAAGAGGTCGGTGCTGTGCGGGTGCAAGTGCCTTGGGATGCCGGATCATCGGCTGCGGCAATTGCGACGTGATGCAGGGCGAGCGCTACCAGGGGGGCGGGGGGGCCAGGGGCCTGACGCTGCAGCTCGCGCTGGCAGGTGAGGAACCCGCACTTGAGGTCGCGGAGGCGCCCGTCATCCGCTGGGCGAGGAAGGTCTGGCAAACGGCGCAGTCCAAGGATGTGAACCAGCAGCGTGGCAGCGTGGTGTCCATGATGGTGAAGGCGTGGGGGCGACAGCAGCAAGAGGTCGGGATGATGCCGATGTGGGCGAAGGTGCGGGGGCCAGCAGGAGCAGTTATCATGTCCTTGAGGCGCGCGCAGTGGCCATGGCCAGCCTGGCGCACGGTCATCGCCAAGACAGGCTACGCCCTGGACATGCGGGCGGTGTGCCCTATGGATGTGGTGGCGATGCTGCGAAAGGACGTGCAGCAGCAGCTGTGGGAGGAGTGGACCAAGGCGGAGGAGTTCGCAAGCTCACGGCCTGCGCCGATGGTGGCGCCTGCGGTGGCACAGCTGAAGGCGCGCGATGTCCCCGGGCGCGCCGAGAATGCAGCGAAGAAAGCTTTCGTGGGCGGGGGCTGGACAATGAGCAAGCTGAGCCAGTGCAACATCGCGCCGACGGGCATATGCTTGGCTTGGGGCTTGGCAGAGGGTATACCATATCACAGGTGCTACAAGTGCACGGCGTTGGGGGGGGGGCAGCGGTTGAAGGCGCAGCCAGAGTGGCGGGCGGTGGCGGAGCAGCAGGAGGACAACTTGCTCTCGGCGAGAGGGCGGGCGAGGCGCCCAGAGGCGGACTGGGCGCTCATCGGGGTCGACGAGGGCCAGTGCGTGTGCCGGGGGGGTGGAGGGCGAGGGCCACTTCGCGGGGGACATCGTGTGCGATGGCTCTGAGCTGGGCTGCGGTGATTGGGCGCAGACTGGGTGGGCAGCGATGTCGGTAAACGAGGAGGGTAAGCCGACGTGCCAGATGCGGCGGCCTACCGTGCGCGCCCCCCGTCCATGGGCAAGCCGAACGAGCGGAGACGTGGGCCTTCTACAAGGTATTGGAGCATAAGTTGGAGGACGGCCAGATCTACGCGGATCACCGGGGGATCATGGAGGGCTTGCGTAAGGGCGAAAGATGGTGCTTAAGCTGGAAGAGGCCGCATGCGGACATCTGGAAGCGAATCTGGCACACGATCAACGACATGAGCGCGCCGATCCAGGTCCAGGATTGAGCAGCTGGAGGGCGACGAGCTCAAGATCGCGCGCCGGCTTGGACTTGTGAGCCACAGCGGGGGCTGAACTGGGCGCCAGTTCGGGAAGCGCCAGGCGATGGGGGACCTTGCTTGCCGAGTGCGCTCGGCGTTGCAGAACTTAGGGTGGTGGCGTCGGCAGATGGCGGGAGAGTGGCCAGACGCGCCGAAGCGAGAATGTGGACGACCAGTGCGCAAAGTGGTCAAGTCGCAGATAGCGCTCGCCAGGCACCGCGTCGAGATGCTGAACGGTTGGGTGGCATGAGTGAGATGTGGACGAAGGGCGGCGACAAAGCGGATGAAGAAGAAGCTGTGGGAGTCCGAGTGCCAGGTGCCGTTGTGGAGACCGACTGGAAGCATGGCGCTGGGCTCGGCCAGTTCGTCGGGGGCAAACGCGGCCATCGCGGTGGCAGCCGCCGCAGCGGCAGCAGCAACGGCAGCCGCCGATGACCAGCGCAGACGGGATCCAGCAGCAGAGGACGTACCGCGAAAACGGGAACACCGAGTGGAAGTGCATGGGCCGTGCGCGGTGTGCGTGGTGTGTTGTGCGCACTCAGCGAGGCGGAGAGCGGGGCTGAGAGTGGCCCGTCCAGGCCCGCTAGCCAAGCGGGGTGCGAGCAGCAAAGACGACGCCAAGAGGAAGAAGCGGGGCAGGATATTTGCGGGCAAGCATCCACAGACGGGGAAGCTCCTGGCGACCGAGATGCAGATGCCAGCGCGACGTGGATAGACTGGAACTCGTCAGAACGGGGGCTCCTCCGCCCAGCTTCGGCATCCGGAGGATTCCGTCCCCACAGTCCCACAGAGGCCCTCAGAAGGCTCCGGGATGCTCCAATAAGGTCCGCGTGGCGTTCGCAGTCTGAACGCAAGGCCTCCCGAACGTACGGCGGCGCAGAGCAATTTCAGCGTCGAGATAATCGAGCCCTGCTGCGACACGGTCCAGAGGCTCCCCACGGCCCTCACACGCCCCCTTCCATATTCCAAATGACACGGTCATTGATAAGCCCAGGTCGCCTTTCCACGGTCTGCCGTGTCCTCCATGCCGTCTCCCACCCAAGTCTTTCGGCACTCGTTAGCCCTTCGCTGCGTTTCTGGCACCCCCCTCTGTGGCCACGACCGCGTACGGGTACGCAGACATGCAGGCATGCACACGTACATCTGCCCAAGTAGACATGAGACATATGTATGCGCAACCAGGGATCTATACACACATACATGTATATGTTTGTACATATATAGGTACAACAAGATACCACGCACGTATATACAGTTAAGGTACATATGTTCAAACACATCACGCCTATATATGTATATGGCGCGCATGCACGTGCGCGCGTATGGCATGCATGTACATATTCGCGCGTGCAGGCGCATGCGCACGAACGCCGCCGGCGTGCGAATCTCGAAAGACCAAAGTGCATGGCGCGAAGCGCCACTGCAGTCTTTGTGTATATATTTTTATATACGCATATGGAATTAAGAATCATGGTACTATGTGGCGCAAGACTACCAAGGGCAACCGCTACGACGACCTAGGCGCAGGCTGCCGCCAGGTCCCGATAGCTAGGTTCCATGCGAGCTACGAATGTATACATTCGACTGCTTTCTCTCTCTCTCTTGTTCTCTCTGTCTCTGTGTATGGGTATATATTTATGCTTATATTTAGCATCTGCATGCATGTGTATACATGTGTGTCAGTCTGTCTGTCTGTCCGTCCGTCTGTGTGCGTGTATGTATGTATGTATGTATGTATGTATGTTTGTATGTATGTATGTATGTATGTAGGTACGTATGTGTGTATGTATGTTTGTGTGTACATTTATATATATCGAAGGTTGGGGGGTGAGTCCGACGTGAAACGGAGACCCCCCTTCCGGGAAATCGATTTCGGTATCGGGTTCGTGTCGTGCGTGCCGTGCGTGCGTGCGGGCGCGGCGAAGCTGCGTGGGCGGGCGAGAGGAATTCATCCTGTGGCTGGGCCGCGGCCGGACCAAGTGTTTTTCCTCCGGCGGCCGGTGGCCTGCGGTGTCCCGCTGGTGTCCCGCTGGTGTCCCGAAATCCTCCTGTGGTTGGGCCGAGGCCGGACCAAATGTTCCTCCTCCGGCGGCTGGTGGCCCGCGGTGTCCCACCGGTGTCCCGTTGGTGTCCCGAAATCCTCCTGTGGCTGGGCCGCGGCCAAACCAAATGATTCTCCTCCGGCGGCCGGTGGCCCGCGGTGTCCCGCCGGTGTCCCGTTGGTGTCCCGAAGTCCTCCTGTGGCCGGGCCGCGGCCGGACCAAAAGTCTCTCCACCCGGCCAGCGGTGCCCCACAGTGTCCGCTAGTGTCGCGCTGGTGTCCCGCCATGGTTGCGGCGAGCTATCCAATGCAAGTCTACATGCAAACCGACATGCAATCCGAAAAGCAGATCGAAAAGCAAACCGGCATTGATTGCGGACGCGCTTCGTCAACATCGCCACATCACGCTCACGATCACACTCACACTACTCACTAGACTCCGCACCACAGGCATCGTCAGAACAACAGTCACCACAGTTGCCCATTGCTGGCCCCCCCCAACCTCCTTATCACCCGCAGGGTGGTCGTATAGGCCTATAAAACGGCGCAGGCGTCCCTGGGCCCAAACCAGCTGTCTGACACCTCCATGGCTGGATCAGGGCCCTGGGGACCCTCCAAGATGGCCCCCAAACAGCCCCAGAGGCCCACAAGACGGCCCTGGAGCCCCCCCAGACGGCCCCAGATGGCCTCCAGACCGCCTGAGAAGCCTCAAGTTGGTCCCAAGATGGCTCGTCCGAGACGGCTCTCGAGACCGCCAACATGCCCCCATACCTTCCAGACAGCCCCAGGCAGCTTACTAGGGCTCCCAGACGGCCCCAAAAGGCCCCCGAGAGGCTCTCGAGAAGCTTCCAAGAGGCCTCCAGGAGACGAACATTCGCACGAGCCCGCAATGCTCCGAAGCGAGAATCCAAGAGACTTCAAGAGACTGTCACGAACACCCAGGGAGCTTCAACAAGCCTCCCGAAGGCCCGTTCCGAGCTCCCGACCTTTCAACAATGCTCCCCAAGGCGCGCATCCGACCTGATTCTAGACTCCTTCACTCCCGACGGCCCGTGCGAGCCCTTCACACGCAGCAGGCTCTCTCCGGTAACATCTGGTCGACGGCACGACGAGTGAGCTGATACTTTTGTTCATGACGACAATATTGATGCTCATGGTGCCGATTACAAGGGGGATCACGATGATAATGCTGCTGTTGATGATGCTGCTGCTGATGATGATGCTGATGATGCCGATGTTGCTGCTGCTGATGATGCTGATGACGATGATGCTGCTGCTGATGATGACGATGACGATGATGACGATGATGACGATGAAGATGACGATGAAGATGACGATCAAGATGATGATGATGATGATGATGATGATGATGATGATGGTGGTGGTGGTGGTGGTGGTAGTGATGATGATGATGATGATGATGATGATGATGATGATGATGATGATGATGATGATGATGATGATGATGACAGTGGTGGTGGTGATTCGCACGATGATCATCCAGCTGCCTGCGGCAAGCGCCCCCACCGTGCCAGTCCAGAATGTTGGGCGGCGCCCATTCGAAGGGGCACGGGAGGCCGTCACTTGTGACGCTTCGGGCCTCTCGAAGGTTCTGGGGTCCTCTTGAGAGTTTTTTGGGGGCCTCTTGGGGCCTCTTGGGGCCTCTTGGCAGCGCCTTGGGGGCTCCTCGGGGGCTCTTGGGGGTTTGGTGGGCCGTCTGAGGGGGCTCTTGGGCGGTATGGGCGCTGTCAGAGTCCATCTTGGGGGGCTCTCTGGGTCGTCTTGGGGCTCTCTTGGGGACCTTGCGGGACCTCTGAGCGCCTTCTCGGGCCGACTTGGGGTACTCTTGGGCCAGTCTGTGGCCATCTTGGAAGCCTCGTGGGCCGTCTTGGGGTCTTCTTGGTGCCCTCCTGGGTCGTCTTGGGGCCATATTGGAGGCTTCTTGGGCTGTCTTCAGCCGACGAAAGCTCGGAGCGGCGAGAATGCGAACATCCTGCAATCATTATCCTGGCGAAGGTCCCAGCCATATGCAGTTGCGAGTGTCGTCGTTGCGGGGCCACAGAGCGTGTGAGGGTGTGCCGGGATGTGTGGGGCGGCAACCTGTGGACACCGCCATTGGTGCCATCGGTGGAGCTCCCTTGAGCCACGTAAGCATGTGAGGGGTGCGCTGAAACTGTTGGGGCGGCCGCATGTGAACACCGCCACTGGAGTCGAAATAGGTGGGGCGGCCGCATGTGGACATGGATCGCCACTGGAGGCTTCGGTGGACCTCCGTATGGGGCCACGAAGCGTGTAAGGGGTGCCCCTGAATCAAAGGGGCGGCCGCACGTGGTAGACCCCCCTGGGGCTTTCGGTGGAGCTCCCTGCGGGGGCACGGGGCGTGCGAGGGGTGTGCCGACATGGGCGGGGCGTCTGCATCCGGTACACCCCCTTGGGGCCTTGGGTGGGACTCCATATGGGGCCACGTGACGTGTGAGGGGTGTGCGGCCGCACCTCCTGTGGGGCCCGCGGTGGAGCTCCCCCTGGGGCCACG